ACTTCTGGGTCGATTCAGCACGTAACAAGGGAAAGCAGAGGGTGTAGGTAAGACAACAGTTCCACAACACTTGAGGATAAATAGTGCTACTCATCCTGCCCCACTTCCACTTCGGGTTGCGCCAATACTTGGACTCAAGAGTTCCAGCTTATCGAAGTTCTTTACAGTGACGGCACATACATCAAGCTGCCAAGCCCAATTAGATGGGCCAAAACCCGAATAACTAACAGTGACACTAGTCCCAGTAGAACAAAAACCTGCATCGACCCCGACATCGTTATTCAGGACCGTCAGCACCAAATGACTACTGCAAAAGAATGCAAGTTAGGGCAGTTGAAGTGCGCCTAAACCAGCGCTCTATGACCTGACAACGCTCGACTTGGCAGCCCCATTCACGTTTCTGTCTATCCACAACTCTATCGAACTACCACTGTTAACCAAAACTCCCTCGCATTACACAACGAAAGTGGCTAAATACCAGGCAAGCCAGTTCCTTTCGTTAAACCAACAGAGGTAAGCCTTGACAGAAGCAGTATTTATGTGCATGTGGGCGATGGTATAAAATAGCCAAACAGGCGAGAGCCATCAGTATTCGCAAATCCAAACAGGGTCGGCGGGCGAAACAAGAGCTAACGAGGAATAAGACAGGACCAAAAGCGATTGAGCAAAATCAGACACTATGGATGGGGAAATGAACCAAAAAGCAGGCTTAGTAATATGCAATATATACGGCTTGTACAGACACCAGCAACTGTCAAGCTGTGGGTGAATCAAAACGCGCTGACCTACGCGAAAGACTATCCGGGTACAGACAAGCAAGTGAAGATGAGAAAGTAGTCCTATGTTGTCACATATTTTTAAATATAACAAACAGGTTCGGCGCGTCTAGAATATGACCCCCAATGCTGGGCGACCACAAGCAGAACATTCACCTGCAAAGCATAGAGGGAAAGCACCTGATGACACGATAAGCGGAATTGATGTTAAAGTTTGTGCTGCTAAACACTTTAAGACAACAGTTCGTAAAGTCTGTTCTCGGAGTTTCTACCAAAATGTACACAGAATAAAACAG